TGCTGTATATAAATTTGGTATCTCAGTATTTGGTATATTCATACTACATATGTTTAGCCTGTTAATGTTTGATATTGAATCACAAGCTTAATCTGCATACTTATCAAGTTGGTAATGTTCTAAAGAAAAACACATTCTGACATCACTGTGACCAGCAGAATAGAAAAAAACAAGTGCAACATTTTCTGCCTTTTGGGCATCAATCGTGGATGGATAACTACAGAAGCGGAAGTCAGCAGGGTTTTTTTCTTTATTAATTTTGGTAATACAGATATTCTGATAAAATGAAAGAAATATTAGAGCAAGAAAAAGGAATTCATACCTGGCATGTTCCTGAACGCCAACAATCTCTACTTCACTATCAGAAGAGGCGATATTAATTTCTTCATTGACCTGGGCATTACCAGAAGAGGTTTTGTCACTTGCAAGGAAGCCTGGATCCAAATGACCTACAGATGGGGAAAATGCAAATACAGCCAATGTTTAACAGCTTACACAACTCGGCAATCAGCTGGAAAAGGAACTTCCCAAGCTAACAAAAAAACCACCACTGAAACACTGAGATTGGAAAATCTTGTTAGATCAAGTTATCCAGCTTTCAGTTCATCACCTGATACAGGATGACCACTGAATTTATCTGGTCTCAATAGCTCTAGCAATGGTGTTATCACACAAATGCGAACAAAGCCCAACTATTGCATCAAGAACGCTCAATGTAATTAGGTTTTCCAGCTGTTATTTTATGACAATGCTAAGAGCCAGACTGTGCCTAAACCTTCCTGAAATAAAGAAACACAGCAATCTATTGTCAATAAATCAAACTCAGTGATACTGTGGCAAACAAAGCCTATAGGCTGGACAGAAACATCACACACACCAAGGAAAATTAATTTATTTTCTTTAAAAAAAAAACAAATGGGGAAGCCAGTCAATTAAAAAAACCACAACAAACTCATCAGTTTCTGGTGACGCTGCTTCACACATCTGCTCTAACATTATTACAAATACTTGAAAAAAAAAATCTGGTTTTCGTAAGTTCTGTATACAGCAGTGTTGGTTTTTCACTAGTTCCTCAATGCTATGCAGTCCATCAGTCTGTCAAACAACAAGCCCTCTCTAAATACTCACAACAAGTGTGGCAGGTTTTGTCTTTTCTGCCAGGTACTGCTAAGAAGGTTTTTCACCACAATTAGTGAAATTGTGTTTGCGACATATTAAATAATACTTGCACAGAAAACACAAATCAGCCAAAGCTATTATTTGCTTTACAGAAAATTATTAAAAATGCAATTAAAAAATAAGATCTTAATAAAAAGAGAAAAATTCTACCTTTTTTTTCCTACAAAAAAAAAAAGATTACTTCTACTGTCACTCTTTAGCAGTAACCTGGAGGACGCTGGGCAGCACTCAAGCAGATAAGACTACCTACTTCTTGGAAACCATTCACTCAGCTTTATTACACTGGGGAAGAATCATTTATCGAGCAGGAAATTTGAGATTAGATGAATATATTATGTATATCTAGCTTGACTGGACACCTCTTCAAAGATGAGAGGAAGAGGATGCAACAATGATCCACTGAATTTCAAAGGTATGTGAGCACGCAGCACTGATTATATCACCAGGTAGATCAAGAGGACACAGAGAAGAAATTAGACTTAAAAAAGGGCCAGGGAAATCTTCTAAAGACTGCTTAAAGTACGTGGAAAAGATGCAAGCAAATAGAGGGGCAGAGACCATACTGTGTGTTCAGTATTTGGAAAGCAAAGACCCTTGGTGCAGCATCTGGTCAGGGTTAGCAAGGGAAGGAAACCTGTGTGCTGCCATAGCATCATAGAATCATTTAGGTTGGAAAAGACATTTAAGGTCATCAAGTCCAGCCATTACCCTAACCCTGCCATCATGTACCTGAAGGAGGAGCTTCTACCGCACAAGACAAAAAAGATGTCAGCTGAACTTGAAACGAATTAATAATTAATTGTCTAGGCTGTGCTCTTACCTAGAAAGGTTGGACTAGATGATCCTTGAGGTCCCTTCCACCCTAGGATTCTATGATTCTAATAGCCCAGGCAGACTTTTCCTAATATTACAGTTCAACTGAACATTTCTTGGCCAACATCACTGACTGCCAGAAAGTCCCCAAACGGGTCATGGATATTTCTTGAATAGAAGTGGCTGGGCACACTGAGAAACACGGAATGGAAGCGCTCAGAGGCTTTGATTCACGTGCCGGCAATGCAAACCGGGAGCTTTACGTGGTCAGCGCCCGGTGACTCGCATCGTCCCGCGCCTGAACGCCCCTGCTGCTACAGCGCAGGCAGCAGATCAGCAACACGGTCCTTCGTCATTGATTCACACAAACCAGTATGGATATCAACCTGCCTTAATATGTTGCATTAATGCATTCATGATGTACCACCATGCTGCACCCTTTGCCAGACAGGGTGATGCCTGGCAGAGGGGCAAAGCAGACCGCCTCTTAAATAGCCCCGAAATGAATCCCCAGAGGTATAAATGAGAGCCCCAAAAGAGCTTTCATATATTACCATAGCTTTAAGATCAGACAACAAAAAGGTAATTAGCAGTAGAGAAACCATGATTAGCAACAGTAGCTGAGTGTAAATCAGGATTATGGCACACAGATAGATTTACAGCCTCTGGCCAAACAAATCTCATGCCTACACTGTTAACTTCTTTGCACGAGCATTAGGATGACGCCCAAAGGAGATGTTTTGTTTGCCCTACAACATCAGGGCTTGCAAAACAGCCCAAAATATTTGCCCATGCACAAAGATGTGATAGCATGTCCTAGTAAGATTTTTCACCTAGATAATGTTATGTTGTTCTTTTCCCATGGGAACGCCTCATTTAATGTCTGTTAAACTAGACACTGGCTGAAGATTAAATTTGGGGGCAAGATGTAAGATTTGAAAATTCTGCTTTCCAAATACGCAACATGGTAAGAAAAGGCCAGTGCTGACAAATGTGCAGTTGGAGGCGTATGGAGGCTACAGAGCTCCGGGGCAAGGTGTATGCAGGAAGAAAAAGAGATTTATCCTTTCAGACGTTGAAATGGCCACAGCACCAGGAGCAAATTTGTCTGGACACGCTCCTGTAGGGTCAAGGATGAAGAAGTTTCTTGAGGTTTTCTCCTTTTCTTTTACCTGGCAACCTCCTCCTTGCAAGTCCCCTTGGATATAGGTGGAGGAAGGGAGACAGATTTCTACCTGCATCGCAGCATTGTACCCGCAAGCGGAAAGTGGAAAAAAGCTTGGTAAGAAACATAATTTTTTATTGCCTTACACTCCTTTGAAGTACCAATCCATTAGTGCTACATAATAAAGTTAATTTCAGCCGTTCTAATTGTATAACCACTTTATAAAGGAGCGGGCTTGTTAGGGGTCAAATAGCTAACTATCAGTCAGCTGCTACCCTGCAAACAATACCAGTGAGCTTGGAAAACACCGGCTAGCTTCAAAAAGGCTGGAGCCACATCCAGCCACAGATCACAGTGAAAATAATGCAGAGGTTCTCACATTCAGATAATGGACTTGTCCACTATATGATAACGGAACATTGCTTTCAAAATCTGCAACATGCTTGTATTTCCATAAGCCTTACAGACATTGAAAAGTAGCTCAGAGCTACCAGGACACTTCCCATGCAGGTGCCCTTTGGCAGGCCTGCATTTGGAAATCACAGTGTGAAACAAAACCACCACTGCAGGCGAGACTCTGTGTCTTACGCAGCTAAAAATCCTAACATGGGTATTACAGAAAATGAGTGGAAAGGCAGGCAGTATGTTGGCATACAAGGCTGGGGGATGAAGTTGATAGGAAATGTTCCCTGTCGGCTCTCTGCATGCAAAACACAGTAGCATTTCATGTTGTTGTTTTTTATCTCTCTTGTTAGTGAAGAGCTGCAAGCAGTTAGTGAAGCTGAAAAATTTTTATGAGCAGCATGAACCTCTCTGAATTCTTCCACAGTGTTCCTGCTCTTGCTTTCTTGAAGGAAATTTCTTTGCTGTCTCCTGATGTTAAGCCCTTCACCTTTATCTGATGCTGGTCTGCCCAATTTTCTAAGGTATGTTAGAAATGCAGATGGAATATGGGAATAATTAATGCTTGTGTTTTAAAGAAACAAAGAGACAAACAAAAAAGACATACGCAGACAATTACAATATTTAAAATGAGATTATGATTGGTTTACTGCCTGGGGGCATGGGTTGTCATAATCAACCATTCAGTAACAAGCTTAGCTCACTTTAATTTAAAAAAAAAAAACAACACAACACCAAAACCTCAGACCCAAGTTCCAAGAAGTAATTAGAGGGAAAAGAAGGAGAAGAAATAATTAAGAAAATTAGTGTCAAAAATACACGTTGGAGGAATCTTTGTCAATTTTTATCAGTTGTATTTTAGAATAAGTGTCAGACCTTTGTAGTAAGCACCTGTACTGTTTTATTGCAAAATCCACACAGGGAGCTTTTAAAGCTGTATAAGCTACAAAAATACCAAAAGCAAACAAGGGAGAGACACCAACTGAGATGCTGGAACAAATGTCAGAGGAAGAGAACTTAAACAAACCTGTATCAGCACTCAGTTCAGCTAGCAGCCCTCTGGTTCTCCAGGTAGATCCCGAGTCTTGATTTCCTAAAGAATTATTGTGCTCTTGAACTACTGCAGCCGCCAACAGATTGTCCACATTTACCACTTCTGGGTCTGAATTTGTGTCTGATATATCGTAATGAGCTACAACTGGAGGTCCATCTGCAGGAGGAGAGAAAAAGCAACGCATGTTATTAGTCAGCATTCTGTGAAAGACACCTTTAGAAGTACGAACAGTTTGTTTAAGCATTAATGAAACCTCCTACATTAAGCTCCTACAGAACTGTAAATTATATGAATTATTAAACCTGAAGTTAATGAACATAGTCTGGGATTACAGAGACATTTTAACTTTTGCATACACAGAAAACACAAATGTAAGAAAAACACGTTTACCAACGTATCAGTTATTTGTATATTATCTTTTACATTAACACATAAACATCTCCATATCTGACGACGTTACATTTACAATCTTGAAAGGATAAAACTTTTGGTTTAAAATAAAAAATAGCAAGTTACAGGACATTAAATTTGGCAAGACAAGATATTTATCTAGAGAATTTTACAAAACTCAAGTGACAGCTTACATTACTTTAGGGTTGATTGAATAAAACTAACTTTTTGATATAACTGATCCAGTGACAATAAATTTAACTTTAGGCAGCTTTCCTTTCATAACTTTTACCTGTCAAGGACAGGGGAATTTGTCAAAATGGCAATTTTTCGGAGTTGTTTTTCTTTAAGGTCAAGAATAACAAGACACAAAACTATAATGTGCAGTGATAAATACGCTTTTAATTCACTATGATTACCATATGTATTTTTGGCCACCAAAGTGAAGGGGAAAAGAGGGAGAGAAAATTGGTCACGTGAGTCTGAAATCTATTCTTGAGGAATAACAGAAAGCTATTTTTGGTCTATTTTGTTGGGACGGACTGTTTTCATTGTGAGAAATGAATATAATTGGAAAGCATGCTAGAAACAGAAGAGGCTCAGAAAAAAAGTCAAATTCGAGACAAGGATTAATGTGGGAGTGTCGAGAGAACGGATAAATATTGTAATTCTGAAAGGACGCGCATTTTAACTCAAATGCCTCATCTTGGCTATAGCTTGTCAGCTCAGCGTGGATGGAAGTGGTTGGAGTTGTCACTCCCCAAATGGCAGGATCAATACTTTGTTTGGGCCAAGACTTCATCCACAAATCCGAGTATGAAACAGAAAAACAGGCTGGCCCCAAGCTCAGCTGCTTTGCTACTGCCATTCTCTAACTCCAGTGAAGCTCTGGCAGCTGCGCGTCTGCAGGGCTGCTTTGTTGTGGGTATGATACACGGAGGGTGTAATTTCTATGGGCCAATATAAAAGAATCATAAACTAATACTGTGTTTAGGAAGATAGGACCTTCAGAATTACAAAATGTGTAAAGAAGTCTTTAGAAGTCACAAAGAATAAAATGAAAATGCTTTTCAGGAAAGCTCGGTTTCTTTTAGGAGTGTTAAGTGCCTGCTGAAGACAGAAAGAGCGTGATGAACTAAAAGTTTCAAATTTAGTTCTCCGAAAGCTGTTTCTACTGAGGTTTTTAGGGTGGCTTTTCTGTGGTGGTTTTTTTTTTCTTGTAACTTAGTCCCTGAAACATAATTCAACCCACTATTTTAAGAAACACCTATTTTGTGATTAGCAGCACACCTCATTAAAGAGTGATCGTATTACTTAAGTCATACTAAAGGTCAAGTTTGCAACAACGTTATGAAGAAATTCACAAAATATTTCCAATCAGACCTGCCTCCAAAACAACAATTTCATAAAACAATGTTATATTACAAACTAAAACAGACCCAACGAAAATAAATGGGTAGTTAAATGCCAATGTATTAAAGACCAAACTGTTCGCAACATGGAACACTGATGATTATATGACTGGAAAAGAAGTCCTGATAATTAACTGAAAGGCAATCTTTGTCTTTTTTAAAAGGCAATTACAAAATAATGGATACCAAGTTTAAAATGAAGCTGGTTGATGTTCAGTTAATTATTTGTGAAAGCCGATGATTAAATTACATGCAGAAGTTACAACTGGACTGAATCATGAGAGGCATGTTTTCTTTCAGTCTTATCATCAGAGTTCAGCGTGAACATATATAATGTGATCTATAAAAATAAACCGTCAAGTGCAGAAGATACGAGGGTCAAGTACAATATTGACTATTTGACCATTTTTTCAATAGGTTATCTAAAATTTCAGGAGCTAGGTACTGGTCCTTCAGGTCTTTGTTTCTCTCTCTTCTTTCTAAGATCTCCAAAAGCAGAAGCGAAATTTAGACAGATGTGTCTACACAAGTAAAATTATATTTGGACAAAAGGCACCAATAGTCTCAAGTCAAAATTGTACCACTCCTACATGTATAATCATGCAAAAATGTATAATAAATGTATATACATGCAGAGTGATATTCTCATCACCTACCCATAGAAATAACTTGTGTGAAAGTCTTCATCAGTAGGAAATACAAGCATAAACTTGTTATCTGTAGCTCCACTCTTGTATCTTCCACACTTCCAAACAGCACACCTTATAACTTAGCTTAAATTTAGTATACATCAAACAGACAAAAATATTTTCAATATAATTTATATACTGTAATTATATTTGTCAGTGTAATAACCACCAATTTAACAATCTGGATAAAAACCCAAGCTGCCTATTTACAGAGCAATCACAGCAGAGATCTATCTTTGCTTTTCTTGGCCTTGCCTTTCAGGATCAGGTTTGGAAATGAAAGGCCCCTAACACCAGGGTTATCCATACCTATCACCAGTAAATGACCGACGAGGCCAAGATAATGGTGATGATGCTGCAACAAATCCTAGGATTCCCAGCATGTATAAAAGAAGAAATAATCAATAAATGCCTTCGTTTTAAAAAAATAATAATAACCCCAAATATAAGTTGTAGACAACTACAAGTAGATGAAAGTTGCAGCGAAGGCAGATAAAAAAATCCTCAGAAAATCCTTGATTCCCAAGGGTCTGTTGCCTTTTCAGTGCTACAAGGACGGGACAGGAAGGGTTAAATTTGGAAATAAGTAATACCTCCCTAGCCGAGTACGTGATCATCCAATGATGAGACGCAAAGTGTATGTGTCGTACCAAGAAATAAAGACAACAGGCTTCAGCTAGGAAATAAGTGAAAAAAAGCTTTCAGGTTGAAAAGGTAAAAGGATTAACTACAGCCATAGCTGCAAACTGACATCTTTTCCCTACTATAGAGCCACTCCTCGTAATTACTGGCTGTAACAGGATTTCAACAGATAGAAAAACAGACACCACAACAAACCACACCAGAATCAAAATTTAATGTAGCACAATTGGGAGGTTCCCTGGTCAGTAATTTAAGCAATCTGTTGAAGAAAAATCATGGCTTTTGAGAAGCCACGGTAGCTGAAGACTTGCATTTCCCTGGTGATAAGCTTTAATTCATTTCTAAAGCAATAAATGCTTGACAAAGACAAGGCTGGAAGTTAATAAGTACCAGCAGCAAAATACAGCTGTTGACATTTTAATGTTAACAGGAGCAGGGAAAGACTGCTTTTTTTTTTTTTTTTTTAAGAATTCAGAGGAAGAGGTCATCATGGGGACAGCGTTTCCAAGTGTCCAATTCTCCCTTAATTTACACAACTCATCAAAACTGATTTTGCTCAGGACAACTGAATCAGAAGCCACACGCGCAAAAATTCAGGTCTACACATGCTAATTTTTATTTCAAGCTTGCAAAATAGAAAATTCAGTAATTCCTTATCTGCTAGACACTCATGCTTTTCACAGAGCCACATTTCAACATTCAGTGGTCTAAACTGTGCTGTAAGACCCACACTCCTATTATGTCTTAATTCATTATAATGGCAGCAGAAGCAAAAAGGGGGAATCAACCATAAGATTTCAGCTGTAGGCTAAAAGCAGCAATCCTGTAAGAAGCACCATACCTTTGCACTGCAAGAGCTGCGTATCGATGCACAGCAGTGCTTTATCATAAGAAACAAAAGACATTAGCTAGCAGAACCTGAACAGGATATTTAGTCCTTTAAGTCATTATTTCTCTTTAAGCTTTCTTAAATCTAGGCATGTAGTGTCAAGCTCATCACCTAAACTCCCTCCCACTGAAGCCAGAGAGAGGAACTTCAGGGTCAAGTAATCTCAGCCTGGAAATTGTGGCCTCGAGCATCATCATCTCCCCTCCTTCCCCAGCACGCAGAAAGAGCTTAGACAACCACCTCGTCTACCTTTTACACTGCTGAAGTTTAGCAAGATGAACTCCAGCCTTAGGGATGGGATTTAAACTTCGTTGTATTTTCTCTGAGAGTAGCAGAAAAAGACTGAAATCTCCAGAGGACTATCCCGATTGAAATAATTTCAAAATTAAAAGCCACACTTTGGTGGTCTGAATCGCCTTCTGGAGTCATCAGTGTCTTTCCAATGAGGAGCCGTGGAGCCTTATTTAGGTGTGAATATCACCCTAAGCTTTAAAACACAGGGAACAGGTAGAATAATAATAGCAATAATAATTACAGCACTTCATTCTTACAAAAGCTTCCCATTAGTGGATCTCAAAGAGCTCCAAGGTGGTTATTAACCTCCTTTTGCCTATGGGGGAAACTGAGGCAAGCAGAGATTCGCAGCTTGCTCCAGGCTAACAAACAGAAGAGCTCACTTTGCTGAGAAAAACACTCCCCTCAAATTACCAAGCAGTTTTTAACTGCTAAATTATTGAGGAGTTTAAAAATAGTGTTTAGGAACACGTTCATGAAACCTGCAAAAACTAACAGGGCAGCCCACAGAGGCACCCAGGTCATCACAAGACCAAGGAGACACACCTTCTTCCAGCCTCACCTCTCCATCTTCCCTGTGAATGCAGGCACTGCTTTGTCTCCATCTCAATACTCCGCACAAAACTGCATTTATTTTTATATAACAAGAGAGAATACTGAGACATTTTAAAATAACAGAAGATCTAAGAACGCCCTCATTTACACTTGACACTTGAAGTTAAGAGATAACTCCATTCACTTCAGGATTAAGCAAAACACAGGATGGACTTCAATACCCATATAAATTTTAAGATCAGCTGATCATTACAGTAATCAAAATAATCATATTTTGTGTGCCAA